AAAGAAAATTTTTCACAATGCTTCTAAAGAATTTTTTTGTTAGATCTAAAAAAAATTAATAATCTAACATCTTCGGTATAAACACTTGAACCATCGACCATAAAATGTTGTCCCGATTACTAATACATACAGTATCTCAAAGTACACCATATATTTGCATAATTTAAACTTGGAATTCGACAAATGAAAAGTATACCCGGTTACAGCTAGCAATTGTAAAAATCTAATTATGTTAGTAATATTAATATTAACACAATCACCGAAACTTCGTTTATTCTTCTTTTTGAATGCATAACTGTAGAACTATGTTCTTCACGGCAAAACAGTAATGAATGTATTTGGAGGATCTTGTAAATAATCTGTAAGTAAAAAGGTGTAGTGATGTATTAGTAAGGTATGATCTTACTGTCTTAATTCATATTTATACCCAATCTTTGAGCTCAAGATTATTTTCAACTGTGTTTTTAACTATAGACGAAATTTGTACTGCTGTTTGTAGGAAGCTGCAGAAATGTTATAACCGAAAAAGAACCACGTGTGATGTCTCAATAACTCGCAAATTTAAAAAACTAAAAATTTTTTGAATTTTTTTTATATGTCGATCAATTTTTTTTTATATGTATGCAAATGTAATAATGATTATCTCTGACATGTCGGCCGACTGATATCAAGAAGATGTATCAAGTGCAGAATGCATCAAAAAATAATGACCTAAAAATTATTTAATTAGTAATTTACTGATTATAATATTTTTGTTAATTTAAATTAAATATTACAAATTAATACCAATCAGTATTTTGAATTAATAAATTAATTCAAATCAGATTTACTGATTTTAAACTGATTTTATACTGAATACAGTCAAAAATTATTCAAAATCAGTAAAAAATAATATTATTTAATAATCTGTAATCAGTATTTTATCAGTTTATAATTAAAATGTCTATTTGTATTTATTAAAAATTCATCTACAATCAGTAAATTTACTGGTTTACTAGTTTTTGACCTGATAACAAAATTAACATAATACTTTTTTTGTGTAACTTTATGATAGCTTATCTTGTAATTAAGTAATTACTCATATATTATACTTTGACGATCATTACGACATTTTACGGAATTAGCTCATACTTTACATTTTTTATAATAGCTAGACAGTATAAATAGGGGTTATTGAACACTAATAAAAGAATAGAAGGTTTTAGAAGGAATCTGTCTTGTACTGGGCAAATCTTGGGAAGATTCATTCTTGTATTAGTTATGCTTAGAGTAATTTTCTTATCTTGCATATTGAAATAAACCGTTTGCCTTTCATAATTAATGCTTACTGTGTTGAGCTGATTTATCATGAATCACGAACTCTCTCCCAAGTTATAATAGCGGTTTGCTTGACTATCTAATAAAAATTAAGCATTGTCTCTATCCGAAACAAGAAAACATCCACAGGCTTATTAAATATTTGAGTGCAAAAGTACCGAAATAAACCTTAAATTCTAATCAACAACTTTTTAATATTTATATTTCAATTATCAAAGAAATGGTTTGTATAAATTTTATTTTATCTTTATAATATAACAAAAAAATTTACTACATTACAATATAAATTATTAAACTTTTAACATGGAGGCCAAAAAAATAGATTTCATAATTTGTGGCAAATCCTTGTTATTCAGACAAATGTGCGCATGGCTACCAAGACTTTTCTTTAGTCTTTAAATTTAGAAGTAAATTAAAAAACTAAATCACATTGAAATTATATATAAGAAAACAAGGTTTTTCTACTTACTTTTCAGCTTGATCTTGTAAAGATCCAATAAATATTATAAAGGAGTTTACCCTCTCATCTTCTTTCAATGCTATCATAGATGTTATGGCATGAGTTATAATATCAAATCTATATATATAATTATATTTAATAATAATACCTTTCGCAATATCTTCTGGGTTAATTTTATATTGTTGAATATTAGCATCAGAAAGTACAATAACAAAATAGTCATCTGCTGCTTCTTTTGTAATATCTTTAATAGCATGTAAAACTGCACCCAGTGTATTATCTATATACAATTTATAAACAATGTGTCATGCATATTAAGATGATTTTATAACATTTAACAAAATATTTGTAATTTGTAATTTGTCATATACCTCCACTAAGACAAAACTGCGAATGTGTATGCATTCTATTCATCACTTTAAATGTCTCCTTTTCGGTATGCGGATATTTCCCTTTTTTTACGAATTCAACATTAGGTGAATCTCCGCTATGTCCAAAAATTTGGTATTGGAATTTATGTTCAAAAGATTTAAATGACTCCATAATCACTAGTAATAATAATATTTATTTGGATTTGTATAATCTGAATATGGAAATATGCAGCATCGAACTTACTAAGAGCAACCTCCATGGAACGGTCCAATCGACGATCGTGAGAATTGAATCGATACATACTAAAATTAATTTTTCAAGTAATCAATTATACCAACATTTGAGATGCAACGTTACGAGATAGACTAACCTGGCACTTAAATCGAAAACGAAATATATCTTTTTAGGATGAGCTTGGTAGAATCCACTTTCGGGTTCATTTTCACCACGGCGCTTATAAATATTTATATCGCCAGTTAATCCTTCGATTCTAAATAGCGGGTAAAATTAAGTTATTTTGACCAAAAATTATATTTAAATTATAAGTTACATAAAGTTTTAGGGATTTTACAATTTCGTATCATCTACATCTCCGGAACTCTGATTTTTTAACCATACACGTTCTTTCTCCTTAGCTTCAATACTTTCCAATATTACATGGAGTTCTCGAATTTCACGTTGAACATTGGCTTTATATGAACGATACAACTCAAAATCTTCTTGAGTCATGTTGATTTGTTCAAGTCGTTTTTGCATTGCCAGTTTGTGCAATTCTCTAAAAACATGAAAAGCATGTTATTTTATTCATAATAGATACACTTATTAAAATACAAACCTTTGGGCGTCGGTAAGTTCTAGTGGTTGTTTAGCTTCAGCCCTCTAAATTTATATATATAATTGGTTCAATAAGGCAAGTAATATAAAATTGGATCAAATCTTTATTAATATACTCACAAGTTCCAAATTTTCAACATCTACAAAGGTTTGCTGCCTTCCTTCAGAATTCATTGGATCACCACCACTTCCCCCAACACCTTCGTCATTGCCATTACCGCCTTCTTGTCCAGAACCACCATCACCATCACCACTACCAGGTCCGAATCCGCTACCAAATATATCATTTATCATATCATTAGGAGTTTCTGATGTGTATTTAGTAACGTTACCCTAATTTTCATGTGATTAATGTTTAAGTTCATATTTTAGAATATATATCGAATACTCTATTATAGTGCTCCTACAGACCGGACTCGAACCAGACTTTAGTCAAATCTGAGTCTGGTCTGATTTTCAGATCGGATTATATTCAGACTTTTTAGTCAAGTCTGAGTTTTGGTCTGCAGACTGGTCTGAGTTCGAATATATTTTTAGGTGTTGAACAAATTTACTTAGTGCATAAAGTTAGAATTAAATAGTAAATTTTTGAGATTTATAAGATTTTATAGAATTTTATTAATCAAATTTTTAATGCATTTTTAGGTGCTGAACAAATTTAGTTAGTATATGAAGTTAGAATTAATTAGTAAAATTTTAAGAATCAAAAGATTTTGTAAAATTTTAGTAACAAAATTCTATAAAATCTTATGATTCTCAAAAATTTACTAATTAATTCTAACTTTATACACTAAGTAAATTTGTTCAGCACTCAAAAATACATATAAATATGTTCGAACTCAGACCAGTCTACAGACTTCGGACCAGACCGGACCGAACTCACAATTGAGTCTAAAGCTTGAAATTAGTAAAATTTAGAGTCTGAGTCTGGTCTAATCCCGGACCAGACTCAGACCAGACCCGGACCAGACCTAGGAGCACTACTCTATTAATACAAACCTCAGGATCATCATATATAATAGACAAAGCACGTTGATCAAGATTGCCAACCAACTTTTTCCATGCATTAACTGCTTTTATTAATTCACCCGCATCAACTTGCCATATTCTTACGATGCCTATAAAACAATTAATGTTCCGTACAAATCGATACAGTGCAAAATAATAAGTATTCTTACCACTATTATCCATTGTTAATAAATCGCCATTAGGCAGTTCCAACAAATATGCAGCCATCCTATCAACTTGCATGTATGGATGACCCGTAGCTGGGTTTCTACAAATAATATAGCATTAAAGATTATGATTATACAAACCTTAAATCCATAAAAAAATGAGCAACTTTACGTTTTGTTAATGCCAGGAACAGCCAATGGAAGAACGATCCTCCATAATACTTTTTGAACAGGATTGAATAGTTCCAAATATCCAGTACTTCTACCGTCCTATAGTTATGGCAAAGTCAAAATTAAAAAGCAAGGACTTGAAAGTTGAGTATAAACTTTAATCTTACTTTTGATGGAATCACAGTTGCCAATTGACCCGACTTAGTCAGATATATTGAAACATTGTTTAAATTTTTGTAAAAATTTTCGTAGTTTCCCTCATCATTTGAGTCTCTCATATATGAAAAAATTTCGACATCATCCGTATTACTAATTAAAGCTTCTGGTAAATTTGAAATAATGGAAGCTGCTATTGAACCATTATTTGTTTGGAGAAAACGTGCAGATAATCTAATAAATGAAATTACTTGAATAAATTGATAACCCATATAAAATATCAATGTTCGTTTAAACATACACATTAGCCTGTGCAACACCTTCTTGAGAAAGATATGTAATTTCTGCCGGAGTAGGCCTTAGTAATCCATTGACATTAATAATATTAAAGTTTTCAACAACATTAGGGATCCTAATAAGTTCAATGATCATATTAATATTATATGATTTAGCCACTGCTTAAAATATCCCCCTTCACCACCAATGGAATCAATCAGTGCCAGGTGCTATCAGATCTCGAGTTCTATAAGCGATGGATAACTATGAAGACTAGATAATATACTTACAAGCCCTCAAAATTATTATCTGACTTTGCGTAAATAAGAAAATGTTTATTGAAGAAGTCTATAAAAAGCCACACATCAGGTTTAACTAAGTATAAATGGGTAACTAAATGATTAAATAGTAACGGTAAGTAAACAGTAAATGTCAAAAGAAAATCAATATAAAATATAAAAAAAACTCGCTTCTCATGGATGTTTCAATTATATATAAAGCATTTGCATTAAAGTCAAGCATAATGATGGATGTCCTTCCTTGTTGGTAAAAAACTGAAATTATAAACACAAAATAATTATATATTGCACTCTTTTACTGGCTACTTAATCTCAAAAAAACAGCTTACCTAAGATTCCAATGGCTTCAAAATCCCTTAGCATAATTGTTTCTTCTGGGCTCAATATTGGTAACTATTTGAATGCATAAAAAAACATCTACATGTTGATATATTATGCGTAATTTCAAATTGTGAATATGTGAAGAAAAAACAATTAGTATTGAAAATACCGTAAGTGCAGTTATAGAGTTTTTTGAGAAGTCGATTGAATGTATCGAATTATTGGAAGAGCTATGAAGTATTAATAACCAAGAACCATCCCTTTTTCGTACAATAGACATTTTTAGATGTGAAGAGGCTAGAGAATGTTTAAAAGTTTTTTTTTGTTACACACTTTAAGCCAACTTATTTTCATGAAAAGCAACTCATATATGAATATTTGTTTATATATACCTCGCAGCAGAGGAAAGTATTCGTGCAAGTCAACACTTCTAACTTTTTGATGGTTTTGACAAATTGCATGTAATGTCACAGGATTTGATGTTACTACAAATAATGAACCATCACCAAGGCCTACTATATCGAGAGCTTCACCGTGCGTTAATATCCGGAAAGTGTAGATTTGTTCCGTGAAAGTATGGATGCGACCTTTATTTATACATAATTATTGTTATGGTAAAATGAAATAATATAATATGCTGTTATCATAAATTTAATATCTTGCCTTCAGTTCGGTCCAATTCCTTAGCTTCGCTCATATGAATTTCCCATAAGCCCTAAAAAATAATTATGTTCTTAAGAATCCAAGATAACAACATCGCAGATATCATAATACGTTAAATTCATTCACTTACTCTAAATTTCATTGCAAATTTTCTCACTTCACATATTTTCCTTTCTAAATTTGATTTTGTCCAAACTTCAGTAATTATAGGACCAGTCAATGGAACGTTTCTTCCCAACCTAATTGTATAATCAGACTCCAATCCAACTGGGAATCCATGCTTCTGAAAAACTGCTATCAAAAGATCTTTAGAAGCCTTATCATATTGATCAAAGTCAAAAACATTTTGTAAAATATATGAGACACCCTCATCTGGGTATTGCTACATAATATAAGTCCATTTGGGAATAATGTTACTAATTATGCCGGATACAAAATAATCTAATATACGCATATTGCTTATAGGTTTGTTATTATTAGGATCAGGCTACTATGATAACCTACTTGCATGTGTTTAACAATATTCACCAACTCTCTCGTAGAATAAGGATAAGAAATTAACCCTTCATCTACGAGTTTTCTCAGGTCACTAAATGCAGCTGTAAGTTTTAATAAAAGATCATTTGGGACGGAAGGGGCATAGTTGCGTAACAGAAACATTTCAGAGTCCGGATCAGAATTATCAATTGAGTGACTTTAAAAAAAAGAAAGAAAATTATGATGTTAATATAAAAAGGTGTTAATATAGAAACGACAGTGAACATAATCGAAGAAAAAATAACGATTTGTTACCAACTAAAAACATCACCAATTTCTCTATAAAAATCATTCCCTAGTATATAGAGATATACATTATGTCATGATAAGTTAATATGATATCATAAGAGTTTTTAACTAACCAAGAAATGGGAATCCTGAAAAATAATTATTTGGTTTATAAATGGTTAATTAATATTTGAACATAATGAAATAACAAACATCCTTAAAGTCTTGTAATTCCTACCGGGTCTATTTGCCAAAACAATCATTCTAAAATTCTTATGGATCACGATACATTCTTCTTTAGAATGTTTTGACGCAAGAGTTGAGACTATTCTCCGTCCATCTCCTAAAACCATCTGACCATCTTCAAGAAGATTCCTGAGTATTGCTGTAACGTATGTAGGAGCTTTATCTGCTTCATCCACAACTAATACATGGCCTAAATATTTATAATTATAACCTCATGTAGATTAAAAAAAATTTGATGCAAATCCCTATGAAGAAAACAAGACAACACACCATTTTTTACAGCTTTGACTAAAATAAAATAATGCAATTTTAGTAATTATATATATTAAAGATCTTGCAAATTATTCCTATACAACATTTAAATAAATTACCTAGAGGTGAATCTTCAAATTGCAAGACACCATTAATGATTGTAGGTATGGCGGTTAAACTTTGCACAGTTGTATCACTAGAATATTATTTAAAAGAACAGTTAAAATGTCTAAATCCTCAATTATAAAATCTTTGTATAGGACATATTAATTGTTAAAAACAATCGTGCACACACCGGTGTAGCTGTATATATTCCCTTGGTAACTTCAGCAATTGTAAAAAGTAATCAGCCAGTTTATTTTTTCCTACACCTTGATTTCCAATCAGTAATAAATGTTCACCTGAATAATCCGAAAAATTGACAAGGTATATTAAAAATGAAAGTTAAATTGCAACAATAGTAAAATAAAGGATCATTAAAATACCCAATTGATAATCTTGTAACATTTGCATTAATATCTCTGTCTGCTTTGGATTTTCGTGAAAAACTACGTCAGGAACTAAAAGAGGGTTTGAATCTTTTGCTATAAGCTGTTCCACTTTTCCGATACGAAGAATTTTGGGGTCGTCTCGTGACGGGAAAATTTCAATTTTCAACTGAAAAAAAATTACTTTAAAATATGATTTACATCAAACAGAGCATTAAAACTTTCCCACCTTTTCGATATCAACGGGTTCTGTGGGTGGTAAAATGTCACTATTTATCATCAATTCTTCTAGCGCTGTTCTGACCAAAGACGGCAAGAACCGGGAGAGTGTAGCTTTTTGAATTGCTAGATAAAGACTCTCGTTAGGAAACAGCGTAAGACGGCGACAAATTCGGATAAGTTGCCTATTGAAAATATTATTATCAGGTTATTAGATATCTGTATATTGAAAAAATTCCAATTGCCATTAAAATTTATAGTCAAACTTAAGCTCAATTAAATTTGCTAAAATAAATTTTGATAATAACTAAAAAATTTGTCAACTTCAATATTGATGCAAACATGAGATCACAATTTTTTGGAAAAAAATTTGTATGGCTTTTATATCAAAAATATACAAGGCATATAAAATTTTTCAATCTTCTGAACAAAGCCCATCCAGGGATTGTTATAATAAGCCACATATAAACTTTTCAGAAGGTTTATAAAATTGGCAATTCCGAATTATGAAGCCTGAAAATTAACTTTGCTTAGAATAAATTATAAATTTACCGTGTAGAAAGTGCATCGGATAAAGTTTTCACTGTTTCTCCAGTATCTTGACGGAGGCGATTGACGAAGTGCAAAAGGAGTGAAAGTTTTTTGGTGTCTATTCCTGGAGACAATGTTTCAAGAATTTGGGTCTCCTCCTAGGTAATTATGTGATAGTGAGAATTTACAAAAAATCACTTCAAAAAATCAATAACGATGAAATGCTTCTATACCAAATAATCTAATGGAAAAATAACAATAAATTGGAACATTGCAACAATTTCTGGAGTGAGCCAAGAGCCAGGACGACCCAAGGCCACAATTCGAAAAGCTGGATGTATTGCAAATATCCCTTTTTTTCCCAACGACTCATGGGTCAATCCATGTTTATGAATCAGCCTTTCATATCTAGCAGGATGAATCAACTGCTTTCCATCAGGAAGAGAAAGTTCACGTTCTTTAACTAGCCTCTCCAACACCATAAGTGTTCCTCCAGAAAGTGTGTCAATTCCATCTAGAACAGCAAGATGTCCAGAAATCGAGGCCCGCACCAAAGGTGAATTTTCCCATACAGTATCACCAGCGAAAGTAGTACTACGACGCTGGAGGAGATCACGGGAAGACATATCTTTATATAAGGGAATATATTCAATGTTGTAGCTAAGAATAACGAATGTTAATTTGAAGGTAGAATAATGCAATAAAATGGCAAAAAAAAAAAAAAAAAAAAACATTTACCCAAGCTTTGCAGCGAAATGTCTCATCAATGCACTCTTTCCAACTCCTTTTTCACCAATAAGACAAAAATCACCAACTGAATGTGCAATCAACATTGCATTAAAAATATTTTGGTGATATTTTGTCTCTACGAAGAAATCAGCCAAGAGTTCATCGGAGCCGCCAAAAACGTTAATATGGTGAATTTTATTATAGTCCATGTGCTGGAAATCCAGCTCAAACTTATATATAGGAAGTTCATTGCCAACAGTTTTTTCTATATCGTTTGATGGTTGGATATTTTTAATATTGTATCCTGGCATACATTGAAAAATAGTTTCGTCTTGTTTAATGTCATTTGCAGAAGTTTTTTCAAAATCCAATCCAAGCATTCCAAAGCGGTGATAAGTTGCTTCGATGACATTGTTTTGTTCAGTATTACTAAGAAAAGGACCAAAATTTAATTGTGAAAAATTTTACAAGCATTTATTAAATCATGTTTAAACCTTCCAAATATATAAAGTCTTGCATTTCATATTAATCAAATTTAAATTTTCACCTGTGAAATAATGGCCATGGGTATAACAAATCGATTAAAAAACGCGGTCTAATATCCGGAAATTTTTGCAACACTAATACACTCGTATCAACTGAAACTGGAAATTCAGGAATAGAGATTCCACCGTTATTGTCATACTGCATATTTCCAAGAACATTTGCTACAGATACTAATCGTTTCACTATTTCTGAAGTAGCATTTGGAGCTAATTTACGTAAATGTTTTATTTGAGAATCAAATTCAGGTTGCTTAACGTCTCTACATTGAAAACGAGACCTAAGCGGAGGATCTAAAGGATGACCAATATATGGAGGAACTGGCAAACCCAATGCCATCACAATAAAGCGTTCAGATACCTTAACTAATTTTAAACCATCCATACTGACTTTTGAATTTGATTCGATAAGAGAGGCGTAACGCTTTGAATGTACTAAAAATCTACCATCTTCAAGTAACATTTCTCTATTTTCCAATAAATTATTTAAAATTGGAAGTACATTTCTTTCTGCCTTTTCAATACCATCTAATATTAAAATTCGCCCATGTATAGCAGCACGTACGCATGCCTAAGTAAGCGTTTAACCAAAAAAATTAAAAGTTCGCTCCTGAATTATATATATATATATATATATATTTTAAACGCTGATACATGCCTGGTCTACATAATAAGCGGTTCCACCAGAAATCTCTCGACGTTGTTTAAGATCGGAATCCGTGCAATCTTTAGACAATGCTACGTATTCAATTTCTCTGCCTGTAAGTTGAGCATATCTAAGAACGAGACTTCTTCTTAATGGGCCTGGAGGACTAAAAATGCATAAAGGTTAATAGAGCCAATAGTAAAGTTGATTCGTGTATGGTACTTACCCAATAAGAAAAATATCTTGACCAAGTTTTTCTTTTTGCATCATCCTAGAGACCATATAAAATTGTATATTTTTATCACTATTTGAAGTATTGAAAATTATACGGAGAATTGAGGTGTTTTTACCATCTTAAATGCCGGAGAACCTCCTGAAGAAGGTCGATTGATGAAAGAAAAGCAATAAAAGAGTGTATCATTTATTAAGATTGTAAACATTATGTATGCTTAGATATGAAACGAAAGTTATCTTGTCAATTTAGCAGATATAATGAATGGAATCGATTTCAAAACGTACATGTGAATCTTCGAATAAAGGATTGACACAATATGGTACTAATTCTGGATTTTTTGGTTTCGAAATTCTTAATGAAACATCGCCAATGCGAATTGTTGCTATTTTCAATACCAAAAATTAATCGATTTCTTAAAAAAAATTCCCAATATTTCAATCTCAATTATGAATTACCAAAGCTTTCGGAATCAGAAGCATCATTGCTTGTATGATCCTGTGATTTTAACGCCTTACTAAAGTGTTCAAGACGCCTTCGAGCAACAATTATATCGTTATTTTTTCCACTCATCGGTGAAATGATCTGACGATGTGCACAAGTATTTATAATAATTTCGGTAAATCTACCGTTAAGATACCGTCTTTTGCGAATCACCGTAAATAAATCCGAAGCACTCCATACAACGCACTTTATTCAATATTTTATATTTTGACTGTCCTGAACCTTTTGGCCTTGTCCTGTCCCGTTCTGGGACGTCCCAACTTGTCACATCAATTTTTAGCTTAAAGTCATGAAAAAATAATTAAATTTAAATATTTTTAAGAACTAAAAAATAAAATTGGAATTACGAACATTTTTTAAAACCTCAATTTGTCCCGAAACATTAACCGTGCTAAATGAGTATAGAGCGCGACTACTTTAAGCAGGTCACAGATTAAATTGGTATTAACATTAAAAAAAGTTCTTATGCCGATCCTTTTTATAAATGGGTCATTTGCTAGGAAAATCACTGAAGTTTTTTTTTAAAAAAAAGTAATTTCGACAAAAATTTTGATAGTGCTAGTTTTTTATACTACCTAATGTATTTTGGCAATAAAGAGTTCAAATAAATTCACTAAAAATTTCGACAACTATGAAAATTAATTACACCACTAAGAAAAATTAATTTTGCCAGACTAAATGTCGAAATAATTTTTATTAAGAAAAACAATTTAGACAGGTTTAGGGCACGGGAAAAAAATTAGGCATGCCCCTCATGCCCACGGCATGGCATGCCCTTTCTAAGGTTGTTCTCAAGCACTTCCCTCTATGATCGATAAAGTGATCCGATTGGCTGAAAAAATAAATCGTGTTTAATCATTTCGGTCAAAAAAACCTGGAGCTAACAACCATCTTTTTTTTTCATAGAGTTACTCCGATTGGCTGAAATTTAAAATCCATATTTCGCACAATGAATTTTCGGCAAAATTGTTACAGGGATCACTTCAATTTCAATTAATCGAAATGCATCGAGGGAGCTGCTTGAGAACAACCTAAATCATGTGACTGTCATATAGTTCGCGAGTTCTAAAAATTTCATATGGGGGGTGTTTATACATGCTGTAGAAACTAGTTGCGGCTGTGCCGAAACTATTTCGACATCGATTTTTTAGTAGAAATAGGGCCGCAAGCCGTAACTTATACCGCAACACAAAGCTGAAACCAAAACCTATAATAAATGCCATAACCTAAATTAAAAGCCGAAATTAAATATATAGAAGCTATCGACGGTAGAAACTAATTGCGGTTTGTCGAAAATATTTTATTATCAATTTTTTTAGTAGAAATAGAGCCGCAACTATTACAATATAAAGCTGAAACTAAAGTCGCAATTTAAATATATTAGAAGCATTATGAATCTCGGGAATTATTACAGTAACTGGAATTACATAATTAACATAAACATAAATACATTTTAGCAAACTAAAACCTATTTTATAGCTACTGTATTTATTTATGTTTACGACACAGTATTTTATGAACAACGTTAAATATCAAAGCAGCTAGATTCGATGAAATTTTTGTTTAGTTTCAATATCGGCTTTTGGACTTTCCACGTGTTCAAGATACCATATTCACATTTTTCACAATACCAAGATCGTTATTATATATGGATATATAGTGAATTATATACTTAGAAATTTCTACGAGTGTTATTAAATTACCAGGTTATCTGGATAATTTATTATGGTCATATAAAAAAAATGCTATGAAGAAAATTTTATATCTCTATGTTTCTCGATGTTTAATACTGTATATTGAAGTTAAATTCTTATGTTAAAAGCTGGTTATTTAAAATCGCGATTCTTTTATGGTGCAAGCACCCTAAGGCATCTAGAGTGTTAACGGATATGGATAATGGATAAGCTAAACGGATATCCGGACTATCCGGATCAAGCACTAATTTTCGATAATATAAATTTCAGTTTATCGAAACTACAGAACTACATTTTATTCAAATAGCTGTAATACAGGTCTAATAATTTTCATCTATATTCCCAACAGGTCTCGATTCGTAATATAATATGGATGCTCTCGGAATAGAAATTAATCGTCTTGATTTCACCGAAAATTCAGAAAAAATAAATATTGCAGCTTCTTGTCAATCTCACTGTACCAAGGATGATGTGAAACGGGATTATCTGAGATCTTTAATCTCCGCGGCTGGTATGTTCATGCAAAAAATCTAAAATTATCATATTTTCAAATAATATGTATCTAATTAATTCTGTAATTTTCTTTCTGCTTTCATAAAATACTACCAAAAGAAAAAAAAAAAAAAACATATTCACGTCATTATAGAACCATCCGGTATGTAAGCTATAATAAAATTTAGTCAATCGAAATAACTTTGATCATTGTTGTCTTATTGTCGTCTATGCCGTTAATAATTGCGAGTCTTTTTTTGATGGTATTAATTTATTGGCCTTTTCGTTCTAGCTGATCTAAATATAATAAATTTTACCTTTTAGGAAGTACCGTAATGTGCCATATAAAAAGATCCCCCTATATATCAGATCCCCCATGAATTAGACCCGGGTCTATAATATAGGATAAAATTTTGGTAAAATGTAAGAGATCCGGGTATACAAATAGGAAAATACTAAGAAAAAAATAAAGAAATAGAATAAACCCCCAATTATCATATCCACACCCACACAATAGACCCCCGGGTCGTTAATATGACACATTGCGGTAGTAAATCTATCGAACAACGGAAGTTAGAAGGTAAATTTCCTTCAAAAAAATGTATACTTGTTGAAATTTAATAGAACATTTGCCTTGACGCTATATGATAATGGATTCATTATTTGAAAATGTGGTTGAGGTTGTCTGCTATCTTAAGCAACTTGAGCAACTTACAAAAAGTTTGCAAGATCATGTAGAAACAGAAAAAAGAAGTAGAGGAAGAAATAGAGAATATATTGCAAACTGAGATTGATGCCCAGTGCTTTATCCAACATCCTAATAAAAACCTTGCTATATAATTGAGATGCAAGTATACATGGGTGTCTAAATTACTTCTTTTAATAAAAAATTATTGTCGCGGCTGATGCTGGAAACGGCTGAAGCTGGAAATCAGGGACCCTGATTTAAAAATATAAACCCTG